TCCATCCATCCATCCATCCATCCATCCATCCATCCATCCATCCATCCATCCATCCATCCATCCATCCATCCATCCATCCATCCATCCATCCATGATGCTGAGTGGATGATCTGATGGCCTCAGGAAGTACCACTGATCTCCCAGCAGATTTCAAATAAGAACCATTAGAAGTGATTTAAATAAAACATAAAAAAATCCTTAAAAAAATAACTAGCCTCTACTGTCATGTGGTGTTTTTCCCCCTCCTTGGTATAGATGGATTAATGGATGGGATAATCTGGTTGGAAAATAATTGGAGAAACTTGGCTGCTGTCTTCGTGACTGACAGTAATCTGACATGAGAGCTGTAGGTGTAGGCTGCAGCAGCTGGAGGAGGCAGAGCAGGGAGGTGATGTGATCATCACTTCATGTAGGAATTATCTTCACCAGTTTGCTCTGTATTGTGGGGTTTCATGTCTCGTTGTGTTAAAATGGGGTGGGGGGGGAAGACCAAATGAATAAAATAGCACAGAGGAACAAAACTGAAACAACCAGGCTCTTTAATAACTGTTTTAATCAATGATTTTTAAAATTGCTGCCAGTTTTCCGTTTCTCTTCCTCCATGTGTCGGTTTTGAGCCATAAAGCTTCTTTATGAGGGGATTCTCCCTCCTGCGCTCCCTCAGTAATGCTTACAGAGGCAGTGCATGACCCACTGCTTGTTAAGCGATGACAATTACTGATGACAGTGCACTTTGCTTATGGGTGCACCTCTTTGTGCAGTGTGTGTGTTTACACGGTTTCCTCTCCATCACACACACACACACACAATAGAAAAGATGTGTACAGATGACGGGTCAGCACTTGTGTCTGGGCTTGTTAGAGGCAATTTTCCACCACTGTCACTCAAACTCTGGTGCACCTTCACACCTTCCTGCTCAGAAGTGTCGGAGGAGGCGAAGGGTTTGTTTATCCTGAAACTTTACGCACACCATACCGAACTCGTTTTAGCTCTGGGATGACCCCCCCACAAAACCTGATAAGTTATGGGCTCGGGGATGCTTGCTGTGTGACACATGGTTTATTTGAGTGATTCGGTGGGTGGGAGGGGTGGGAGAGGAAGTAGGAAGTGGGTCAGCAGCAGTGGTAACTTTATAACCTCAGGCAAAAACACACACTTGCTCCTAACACACCTCCCCGTGTTTATTTCACCAGGGAGTTTGTGCAAACATGTCGATTTTTGTGTGATTCCATGAGAACATTTGCATAACTTTGCCCAATTTTGTGTCTACAAATAGTCCCAGACAGTTGCAGCCCAGTGAAATACTTCCTTTAAGGTAGGAATTTATTGGGCTGCGACTGTTAGGGACTAGTTGGGGACTCCTTATTGCGAGAAAAGGGTTGGCAACCACGCCACCAGTAAGTTGTGTAGCTACTGTTATATTCTTGTGTGCACAACTAGCAAAACTACAGAAGCTGAGAGCGTCTGTTTTTAGCAATTTCTCCATGGTTTTGTTGATCATGAAATAATGAGGACCATATTTTCTGTGCATCATTCAGTAACCATGAAGACGGCCTGATCCCCACAGCTGGTCATCAGTAAAGTTTATTATGTCAGCAAGATCACTGTGTAAACTCCTGCTGATCTGCAGTCGGGCCAGCCATCTCCTTAAATGACAAGGGCTAATAAGACAGTTGTCTGTAAGAGACAAACAAATTGCAATTTCAGCATGTGTAATGATACAAAAATGACACAAAATTATTAGGGGTGCAACAATACATGTACCCGTATCGAACCGTATCGAACAGTGCTTCAGGTTCAATACACACTTGTATCGAACGATACAGGTTTTTAAAATTTGCTTTATCAACTTGTCTTCTGAAGATGCTCTGTGTTGAAGGATCAGTGGATCTGTGTTCGACTACTTCACCTAGGCTGCATTTTTGAGCACAGATCCACTGAGAAACTTGCTGTTTCAGCAACATTTCATTTAAGAACTGTACTTTTGAGGTTAAACAAATGTTCATAATTAATTTAAATAAATTACAAGTTAAAAGGGGCATGGAAATTTCTCTTTTTTGTATCAAAAAAATATTGAACCGTGAGACTAAAGTATTGAACCGAACCGATTCGTGAGTTTTCTGTATCGTTGCACCCCTAAAAATTACACTAGGGTTGCCTTCAGGCCCAGGCCGCCCTTGCACAAGAGTCCTGCAATCTCATTGGGATTTGCCTGGTTAAATAATGGTAAACAAACAAACAAAAAACAAACAAACAAGTAAATAAGTAAATAAATAAATAAATAAATAAATAAATGTTAATCTTCATTGAAGACCAGCTGAGGGGACCTGGCCATCTCCATGGTTGCTGAATGATTCACGAGAGGAAAACAATCTGGGAAAACCATCTGGGAATTAACTCGTTATCTCGAGAAAACGGACCTCGTTATTTTGCGATAATGATGTAATATGTGGTTATCATGAGACTACCATGGAAAATAATTATATGTAGAAAACGACCGCTCTCGGTTTCCGTACAAAACTGTTTTCTTGGCCATGCGCATTATTTTGTTGCATAGCCCCTCCCACTTCATATCCACCTCAGCAACTCAACATTAGAATTCAAAATTAAAGAGACACGATTGCAAACCTCACTCGAGGACATTTTGGTGCACTTTGTAGATTCACGAATGCCGTACGCTAACTAGTCACCAAAAGTCACGGCCCAGTGAGCAGCAACCTTTATGATTTTCCTCCTTTTTTCTCTTCTTCTCCCACCTCCATCCCTGACCTCCTCCAACGGAGAGCGGTCTGTCCCGGCAGAATGATGACTTCTAAAGATAAACCAGCTGACTTGTGTTTACATGGCAGAACAAGAACGCTGGTGGGATCATGACAGGCCAGCTGTTGGGAATGTTCACATAACTCTGTGTCTGAAGCAGCAGGCGTGTTCACACACACACAAACACACACACATAAACAAAAAGAAGGAGCGGGCCTTTTTGACACGGCTCACAAGTGCGCGCACATTTATATCCACCTGCAGGTTTGACTGGCAGCTTTAAATCTATCTTTGGATTTCCTGTGCTCCCTGTCACAATGCGGGCTGCTTTGTGATTCGGCACACTCAAGAGCCCTCTTTGATATGTGTGAGGGTGTGCTTCTTCTCTGTGCGCCTAACAGCCATCTCGCTGCGACTTCAGCTGCTGTGTCTCTGCTCCCCCCTCTACACTAAAATCAGATATATTTCTGCTCGGGCCTCGGTAAAGTCATTGGTGATAAGCAAGGGCACGGGCTTGTGAAGCCATGAATAACAGCATCGACTGGCAGGATCAATACGGGGATCTGGAGTGTGGATTTACAGTAGGAGGAGGCCACTCTTTGACCAAGCTGCCCATCAGATTTACACCCAAACAAGCTGAGTAAGAGGCTTTAGACTTAAATAATATCAATTAAAAATAGCTAAAACCATTAGAGAGCCTCAGTTCTAAGTAGTTTCTTTACTAAGGTTAAAGATGGAACTTGATGTTTTGCTTCTAAGCAACTAGATATGATTTTTAATGCCCTCTTTATTTCTATGCAACCAGAATATGCAGTAGGGTTATCAGCCTGCAGCATATTATTATGCCCCTTTTCCACTAGTACCACCTAGTGTAGTGTTGGTACGGTCAGTGTCAGAACGGTTCAGTTCGGGTGCTTTTCCATTGACATTCCAGTCRGGTTCCAGTGGGTGTTTTGGGTGGTTTGTGGAGGTGGTTTTCGGCTTTTTCAAAAAAAGAGTTAATGCGCAAAATGAGAGATGGAAACACATTTGGCGAATAAGTTCTGAAATTTAAAAAATTCGCAAAAAATTCAAATTAAAGTTGGATGGAAACACGACTAATGTCGCTGCTACAACTGAAAAAATGGTGCTTCGAGTTCTTGTTGTAAAGGCAGCTCAGACGCAACCAGTGACTCCACCCCRTAGCCWATCAGTGACGAACAGTGTTCTGYTGTCGCATTTTGGTGTCGACTGGGACCACTTGGAACCACAGCAAAGTAGGTACTAAAAAAGGGCTGGTTCCAAGAATCTGGCCTAATGGAAATGCTTGTAATCACACCGAACCCTACCGACACTACACTAAGTGGCACTAGTGGAATGCCACTACACATTGTGGAAATGATGAARGTCATTACACAACTTGCTATTTTAACCTGCTAAAATGAAGAAGTTAGTTTGACTGATGGTTTGTAAATACAATTTTAGAACACAGAGTTACTGATTTAGAGTTAAAAACATACAAGTGCAATTGTCACCTATCAATCATCATTATCAGCTAATTGCCACAATTAACTGTGATTCAATTCTTTTGCCAAAATTGCCCTACCTTCTTATGCAAAGAAAACCCACACATGCATGGGAGAACATGCAAACCCCCACACAGAAGGACCTCACTGAAGTGGCATGTTGAACCACTGCTCCACCGTGCCACCTCTAAAAGTAGTCCCAGACTGTATAAAACTATCAACAGCAGACCAAGTGTGAGAAAGTCATGTCTTTTAGGAACTGGAAAGGGAAATACAGCAAAGCTCTGACCTGAGAGCTTCATCATTTTTCACTTGATCATACTGTATGACAC